CACAACTAGTGATCGCTATGGTGGTAGGGCACCTTTAAGTACAGATATTTGAAAATGTGAATTGATCAGCGTTTCAATATTTAACAATATGAATTTTGTATTTCAGTTTATAAGCCTACCAGCCTCTATAGCACCCTATAAATGTTCTGTTTTACCAATCACTAACAACGTAGAATTCAATGATTATATCAAACAATTATGTAAGTAGTTTTTCAACTTTTTATCTGAAAATTGTTCTTTTTTTTTGAAGGAGACTCACTCTTTTGTGTACATACAGGCAGATGAGAGAGCAGTATTAATACCGGGATGTTAACAGTCACTCATACAGAGGATAATATTATAGTGGTTAGAAAGATGTCTTAAAAACAAATATTTAAATAACTAGATAGATCTCTGGTAAAGCCAATAGATAAATAACTAGACCCCTTTAACAATAGTTCTTAAGGTGGAAATAGACGATGTACTGTGCAGGATTATCGATATAGTATAAACAAATCGTTTCTGGGGTTGTCCGCACCTGTACCTCGTGTGTTCACTTGTTCTATTGTCTACTGTATCGATCATCACGCACCGAACACTGTATATTGTCTATTCTGACATCAAATGATATATTACATTGTATGACTTATAGACATTTATATCCTGGTGATCATTATTTGCGAACTATATTCAATATATTTGTTATTTCTATTATAGCTGAATCACTGACGTTAAATGATATATCACATCGTATAGATGATAGTGGAGGTAGTATTGGAAAACGGTATGCTAGAACTGATATGATAGCTATACCTTACGGTGTTACTATAGATTTCGATACTCTACAAGCTAAACCACCTACTGTAACACTACGAGAACGAGATACAATGAAACAAGTCAGAGCTAAGGTAAATATTCAGTTTTTATCCCTTTTAATGTGCACCAACATTCCAATATCATTATAGCCTACTTGACATATTTTTAAAGTCAGATTGCAAAAGATTTATTTGTTTAATTACGAATTGATTAAAAATGGGTTCCTGAATGAAAATGCTAATACTAATGTGAATAGCAAGTAGAGGTGTTCTAATGACTTGAAAAAATACCAGTTTGTCTCACATTTCCATAATTAATCCATAATTAGCTAAATTCAATATTAATCCTATATTCTGTATTATAGATGGAAGAAATCCCCCAGATAGTAAAAGATTTAGTTGATGGAAGAAGAAGCTGGGATGATATATTAAAACAATACCCAATATTTGAAGGTCAAGAATCTACTAAGTGAACTGAATCTATTTCCACTGTTTCTTAGAGATAATTTAAAACTTTCAATAAACCTGAGGACATGTTCAACTATATAACTATGGTAGTACAGTATAGAGGCTAATATTATCATTTTTACAGAAGGACAGATTGTGTTAATTCAGATTTTTACTATAGATTTTATAAAAATTCGGCAAAAATATTCCCAAATGGACTTAGATAACCTTTAGAACACAGAATGTCAACATTTAAATACACATAACTTGAACTGAAACTGAAGTTATATGATAACTTACAGCGTTTAACATGATGAAGAACACCTGCTAGTGGCTAGTGTTCAAAGGCTGTTGCTTAAAATTGTGAAGCAGCTATCATATATAAATATCAAATCAGATGCTTTAGAAAAGAGCTTGATCTACTTGTTAATTTTGACAATGGAATATTAATTGCAATACATGTAATCATGCTTTACCCTGCTTTAAGTAAAACTGCTTTAAGTAAAACTACAAAAATATGTTATTTATTTTCTGATCTTGTATATTTCTTTAGCCCAACAGAATGAGAATGAATAAAATTTTTAAAAAATTATTCACATCTAACTGATCATTATCATGTATCGTTGTTTAATGATCATGGGTAAGGGTGCCTCTTATCATTTAGAACATAGAAGTGATCTTGCAAACTAATTGTAAATTTTAGTTTATATTGGTTACTTGTTTCGTGTTAAACGTTATTATTGACACATGAGAAAACATAGCTTACATCATGATTTCTGTAGCCCTTTCATGATGTAGGTTATCAGCTGACCATATCTCTTTAATTACTCTGATTCTGGGCCCATAAATAATCCTAAGATCAATTGTGTCATAAGTTAGGTATTTGTGCAAATCTATGTCAAATTCTTATCAAATTCTTATCGCAAGATTTCAATGTACCTTATTACACTGTAAATATATCAATACAATAAAGTATTAAATCTATTGATTTGTTTTTATTTCAACAAAAAGTAATGGAGCATTCATGAATATTTTTCTTATGCAGCCTCACCTGAGGGACATTTTTCATTAGTCAAATTTGATTTACCATCCTTGAAAAAGTTTTGATAAATATACACAAAATGAAATTAACTTTCAATCAAATTGGCTTCATTGTTAATGAATCAGCTTTGAGGGAGTGTTGTTCTTGGAAATTTGTTTGGAAGGCCTTCAGTAATTGCCTTCTTGAGTAACTTGGATTGCTGCCATCTTGGAATAACTTTGAAGAGTTGAAAAATTTCATTCAATGAATTCGGAAACACGGCATTTCTAGAAGATAAAAGATTAGAATTCCAGATCTCAAAAATATCACAAATGTTGACATGCTGTCTTTGTAACTTCTACAAGTAACGATGTCTAAGGCAATAATAATAAATTATTTTATTGCATATATTTTCACCTTCAGTAAAAAAAAAAACTGCATTATTCAGTGTATTATTAGATGATCATAAAACATGTCCTGTCGGTAGTTAAGAACTCATTCGGTAGTTAAAAGTAAAATGAATGCCTGTGTTGAATAATGACCTTGACCCTACCTAATGTTGATGTTTTGATCAAGGACGATGGTCTTCTAGTTGATAAGTTCCAGAATAAATTCCAAGATGTTGTCCATTTCGTCAGTTTATCAGCCTTTATGTCGGCGTCAACTGGTGCAGGTAGGTTTGGTTTAGTTGCATGTAGATCTGAATTAGGCATTCAATTATCCTGAAATTGCTTCCAAACATGAACAGAATTTTTCTTCAGGAAAGGGAGGTAACTATCTAAAGTCTACTCTAAGCAATCTAAAGTTGCACTGACATTTTCACTTGCAGGAAGTCTTTTAGGGGAATGACATAAAGTCTTTGTGACTAGCACGAGGTATGTGCGAAGGGT